GAGTTTTAATTAAGAACATTAAAAGGTGAGGTATAAATTTTTCCACAACAGATGGTCATGGCTGCTGTTTCCTCTGTCTTGGGGAAAATATGATGTACTATACACCTATTATTACTCCTAAAATTCTTGAAACAAGTTAAACAATATGGAATAGTCTGCCTTTGAACTACACATAGCAGAAATGTGTTTTGCCAGCATTGGAACCCTAATATTACTTTCTAGCTTGCAGTTCTGAAGGCCTCTTTGCTCTATCTCTAAACTTTCAGTCTATATGGTTCTGCCCAAATTAGTTCATTCCCAATGATGGTCACCAACATATATCTAACCAGTTTATACTCAGTATGTGGAAATCATCTGGGACCACTGCCTGCCTGAAACCTTGGTTTATTGTCTCTCCATTAGATCTACACGCCAAGTTTCTAAGATTTTTCTGTTAGAAACCTGGGCTTATGATTAAAATAATTCATGTGATGTTTTCAGCTGCTTGGGGAATTTGACTGTTGTTATCTTGAAAAGAAGAACTTCAATTGCAAACAACAGGAGAGGAAAGACACCCATGGCTCTCTTTTAACAAATGATTTGCTAGATTACAGAGAATGATTGTGAGATTCATAAAAGTTACATAGCTTGGTGCTGTGGTATCACTTTCTGCTGCTAGAATCAACCTGTCTGGTAAGAATATCCTAAGAGAAATTGCTGGTAATTCTGCTAGTAATTGCTGTGACATTAGGAGGTAAAAGTCAGAAGTAGGTGCTTCTCTATAATGACCCCCACATTAAGGAATGCCCTACCCCCAAAACATCGCCTGACAGTTTCTTTAAAAAATAGTGGCTTTCCAATATATGATGATGATGTGCCATCAAATTGTTTTCAGTCCATGAGACCATATAGAGTGAAAGCATTGTTTTCTAACAAATAGCTTGTAAATATAGCAGCAAAAAAGAGTAATTATATTTATAAGGAATGGTGTCTGAAAACTGAAATCATATCCTGTTTAGCACTGATTTTGCACATATCATTTAACCTTTATTTTATCTGTTACTTTTTTGTATGTAGAAAGAAGGATCTCGTTTCTCCTTGTTTGATTGATTATGTGCCATCAAGTCAGTGTCAACTCTTAGTGTCTACATAGATAGAACCTCCCCAGGATTATTCTCATTAGGTGTTGCTGTATTAAGCTTTTTCATGCATGTGTCCTGCCCCATTCATAGAGATATTGAGGCAACTGCAGTCCTCTTGCATTTTCCCACTGCTTTTTTCATCTTTTTTTTCTTAATACAAAATATTAATTTTCGTTCTATAAGGAGAAAAAGTTGGAATAGTTGCAAAATGCCTTTTAACTCATAGCATTAAGAGCCCAGGTCCTTGAAACACCTACAGTATAAACATAAACAAGAACATTTTTCCAATGCGTATACCATTCATACGTATCTGCTGACCCAAATACAATTTATGGCCAAGAGTAGAGCTGGTTTTACTAAAAACAGATATATTTTTGGAGATGTTATCATTACAACCTTAAATAATTTTTAATCTGGTTATCTGAATGACCATTTCCTCCTATTTGAATTTGAATCTGAATCAGACCAAGAATGATAAACTATATTATTCTCCATAGGACTTGATGTCCTATGACAAGGCTATATCGGTGGTGGCTGAACCTTTAACTTTCAGACTTTTGAATTTCTGCCAAATTTCAAGCAGCTCCATCTTACTGAATTTTAAACTTCTAATAAAATTGTTGTGGTGCAATGTCTTTAACTGTCTGTAAAGAGTTTAAAAAGAGTAATTTTTTCTTCTTCTTTGATTTGTTGTGATTTCTGTAGAACAATGCTTTAGAGGTATTGGTGACAGAACTGCAATGTACTTTACTTTTAATAAAGTAAAAAAATAAATTAAGTATATTCTCTTATGTGCACTGCAGGATTCAAGAGAAGAAACTCTGTTTTGATTAACATTTTATTTTTAAACTAATGCTAACATATATAGTCTTAGCTTCTGTGTGCATATGTTATTTATGAATATTTCTGATATGTTTCTGAAGTATTGAGTGCATTCTTTACAACTTAGAAAATGTTCTGATATTCCCATGATTCATCACAAGCCTTTTCTAATTATACTCTTCGTACTTGAGAGCATTAACCACTAAGAGCTGCTTCCTGAAAAAATTATCTTTAGCAAGAGTAAAGTGGACTCTCATGTCATTTGAATAAGCAACCAAGAAATGGGACTCTGATTTGCTTTTTATTCCAATTATTTCTTTTCCATAGTTTGATTATTCAGATTCTAAAATAAATTAAGAACATGTCATAAATGAAGTGCATATCTATAAGAACATGCTCTAAAGTTGCTGTTAAATTCAGAATATAGCTGTGGCTCTTAACCAAATGCATCAGTTTCTTGTTGAGTTTGTTACTTTCTGGATTATCTAGCCCTTTCAGTGACTCTCAAGTCATTAAGCATGGCTAGATGATTTATAACCTATAAAAATAGCTTATTGGAAATGTACCTAATGTACTGATCAGATCCTAGAAAATACAGTAGCTGTTTGTGGCTTGTTTAGAGCTTAGTGTATGTTTACTTCTAGGAGCAGCTTATCAGACAGTCCTGTAAAAAACCCAAACCATGGAAACCCTAGCTGTGTTTCTTGGAGGAGGAAGAAGTGAGATTTTCCAATAAGCCATCCTTATAGTGCCATAGGACAAAGCAAACATTTTATTACTAAATTTCTTGAAGTTCTTGAGAATTAATTTTTGAAGAAAATCACCCACAATCTTTTATATGAATTCTGAGGCTGGTTTACTTTGTATATTTCCTAATACAAATGTCAGTCCATCACAAGAAATTAATTCAGTTAGCCACATGGATTGTTATTATAAAATGTTAGAAATTTTTAAATTGCATTTTTATTTAATATTAAAGATTTATTAAAGATTTAAAATGCACATAGTGAATTGAACTGTGTCTATATCGTGTGAATTTTGTACCCAGCTTTGAATGTATGTGTTAAAACTTCCTAATCAAAGTTTCTGATTCAATGAATGGCAATTGGGACCAGGATTGCTGTTGCTAAGCGATGTGACTGTAAAGTGCAACATCATATGACCACATCACTTAGCTATGGCAATCCTGGCAGCCTGGCTGCCATCATAACCCCTGGATGCATGTGTTGGTATGCGGGAAGAGGCGGGAGCCAGGTAAGGAGCATGGGGCTGCAGGGGGATGCTAGGTAGTGTAGGAGGGCCAGCAGAGGCTGCGGGATGGCTGGCACACATTGTGAACCTGCTATCATACTCTGTAGCAGGCTCTTTGGGAGAAAAAGCAGAAGCGACTTAACTGGGGCAATTTGCAACCTTCCCTGCCAGCTTCCCCAGTGGCTTTGCTTCTGGGAAGCCGGCAGGGAAGGTCGCAAATGGGAATCATGTGACATAGCTTGTTGCAACATCATAATCGCAAGCTGGGCACCCAAGTGCCTGGATCACAATCACATGACTGTGAGAATGTTGCAACAGCCAGAACTTCAAGGACCGGTCATAAGTCCCATTTTTTTCAATGCCGCTGTAACTTTGAATGGTCGCTGAATGAGTAAACATAAGCTGAGGACTACCTGTATTGTCAGAGTGGACTGCAGCCATGTGTTGCTTTCCTTAGTAATTGAAAAGTCTTCCTTGAGCATTTTCCCCTTAAGATATAGGAGAAAAAATGATCCTACATCAGTGGGATAGAATTGCATGTTTGAGAGATGACCCACTGAACGTATAAAACAGATTATGTCTTCTGTTAAATTTTTATCTGGCTTCTCTGAAAAGTGAAAGTATTTAAAGTATTAATTTTAAGTAACAGGAGATTATTTTTTCCTGTAGAGCTGCAGTGAAAGTTCATCTGCTTTCCCTTGGGAATAGAAGTAATTAGCTAGATGGGAGTGGTGAAGGTTTGGTAAAGCTTGTGTCACCCAATATGGATTTTTTACATATTTTGTCATCTCATGCTGGTACGTGGGGCTTAGAAAGAGACATCAATCAGCCTAAACAGTAAAATAATAGAAGGGGTTGAAATCTATAGACGCAGTTCTCCATTTCAACAATACTACATAGCAATATGGTTTCTTACCAATTTTAAAAAGAAGTTTGGTCCCCAAATATCACATTAAAAGAACTTGTTTAGGAGTTATTTGTATTACACATTAGCATTGACATTTGAGAATAAGTCAACAATAAAATATTCAAATATGTCTTTGCCATGATTTCCTTGAGAGACAAGTCTTTTCTTCCTCTGTCCTTCCACAGTGTAAAAATAATAGTACTGATGTATGCTACAAGTTCATTTCCTGTAAGATTAGGGAACAAGTTTGTGAAATATTTTGAACAAGGAATCATATAAAATAATTATATTAAATATTTTTGTTGGTTTGGGCCAATGAGTGGCTTAAGTGGTATAAGGAAATACCTGTGAAGAGCTGTGTCTTTGTACGTACAGTACATAAATATATATCGTTTCAAGAATAAGCAACATTCAGAGCACAGAACAGCACTAAGGAATAAGCCAAAGATATTAAAGACATATTCATGAAACAAGAAGAAAAAACATAGCTAAAACTCATTCCAGGTGTTCATCGCCCAGACAGGCCCATAGATACTGACTTCTGCCTGTCCAATGTGGCTTTTGTCAATCGGGGTTTCAATCTAATGTTTTTTTAGTAAGATAGAGAGGGTGTATGTTAGGTTACCAGTGCCCCATGCTGCATTGTCTACTAGCTCTAAGTACAGTATCAGTCAGTTTTGGCAGACTTGGGCAAGTATGCCAAAAGTACTACCAAAGCCGTTTTACCTCAGGCGTGCTCCTGTTATTCTGTGTAAGCTGGCGTTTCTAATTTACTATGCAAGCCAACATACTGTTGCTCATATCCACCAACTAGGTGGTATATGCAGCATACGGACACACACTTAGGATGCATCTTTGTATTGCCTTTTAACTCTTTGTTGAATGTCTTTTTGTTTTAGAAATGGAGGCAAACCATTTTAATTTCACTGGCCTTCCCTCTTCACCTGCTGCCTCAGGACTGAAACCTGCTCCTTCCTCAGGGGACAATGTCTACACAAATGGATCTCCTATGAACTTCCCCCAGCAAGGCAAAAGTAAGTGAGGACCAATGGACCTGGACTGTTGTTGTGATATTTATTAATGGTAGACAGGAACCTTGATTGTACATGGTCCTGTGGCTAATGCTGCCAACCCTTCCCTTTTTGGTGCATAGTTCTGATTATGTTTCTCTCTGTGCAGAATTACTACTTTGCAATGAAAGGTGGGGTTCATAAGGGAGTCTCAGGAAGTCTTAATAGAGGTGGATAACAGTAATAAGAAAGATTTTGTGGATCCGTACATCCATGGAGGTAGCAGAGTTGATGTAAAAAATCTGAGCTTTCCTATTTTATTGTTGGGGAGAAAAGGATCTAGATCTAAGATTTTTTTTAGTTTATTTTGAAAATATTTCTAAAGGTAATCTGCGTGCTGGGAATAGAATCCTAGAATTGTTAATGAAATGTACTTTTCCTTCAGCACATGTTTAAGTTCACCACCTTATTTTGAGAGGTTTGGAAATGCTGCTGCTATCTTTTTGCCTTGTTGCTAGAAGGTAAACAATCCCAAACTATTTCAAAAAAGGAGAGTGTGGGTTAGATGTGCAGCATTTTAATCAGAAGGAGGCCTATAACAGGCTCTCTTTTCCTCTTTTAAATGCTATTGATGGTACAGGAGAATGCAACATTTTGCAGTTCTTTCTGTAATAAGGGTAGATAACCTTATACTAGTCAGTATAACTTTAAAAGCCTTCTTCAAAGTTATACTAGTCAGTATAACTTTAAAAACCTTCTTCAAACAACTGATTTAAACTTCTGTCTAACCTAATCTGTTTCATGAGAAAAGGGTAGAAAAATAGCTACAGAGAGCACTTGTCAGAGAGAAGAGAGTACATTAGAGAGAAAACAGTTGGCCACTCCCACTATTTTGCTTAACCTTACCTACCATTAACATGGACTTCTTTACAGAAGTTTGGCCACCCTCAATTTAGAGTGTGACTCTTTAATGCCATATTACCTTACAATAGGTATAAATGTGTGGTGGTGATTATGGCATTAATTTTGAAAGGCAGAGCCAAACTTTGAATCAATTGGGCATTCCTCAGAGCCCTTCTTTCCAACTTAATTGGGAGCATCTTTTTAGCTCCTGTTTATTTTGACTTTCCCTCCTTATTTAATAAGCTTAATAATGTTTCATGTCCTCCCAATAATGCTGTATTATAAAGTACTGTACTATAAAGATTAGTCCAATCCTGAAGCCATTCTGATTATGGATGAATTGTCAAGGAAAAAAATGGTAGAACTTAAGAAAGAACAGCTTGATTATAGCTTTTCCCATACTGAAGCAATACTAGGTGGCTACATACAGCAGGAGACTTAATAAATATTTTATCATTCATAGTTATCCTCAAAAACACAACATAGAATGTGACAAAACTTTAGAAATTAGAAGATGACATGAAAAACGTTGTGCTTATTCTTCCCCTTCCAAATTAATTTAGAATCTTTTTTCGTTCTCTCTGCCTTCATCACTCTTCTCCTTGCCTATGTCCTTTATAATGTTTCTTTTTCAGTACACCTTCCACCCCCAACAACATTTTAGTGCAAGATAAAAGTAGGATAAAATACCTTTTCTAACTGTTCTTTATGTGACAGAGGTGGGAAAGCCTTTTCCTGTTGTAGTGTATACTGCAGAGATAAGCATATCTATAGCAGAAAGTAAATTGAGCCAGAAGAAGTGCATGGAATATGGATATGACTCTTGGTTCAAAGTTCAGTGTAAAAAGAAAGAGAATGAGAAGGCAATTGTATCCATGCATTTTTTTATATCTTCAAGCAACTATAGTGGGAGAAACAGAAGGATGGAGTTGGAAATGGCCAGAAAATGATGTGGCCTGGGAAAATGTGTGGAAACACTGACTTGCATCAATGGAGCAGACTGTTCAACTTTATTGTGTCTTATCTCATTTTGCTGGTTCTAATTTGAAAAAGAAGCAGACCTAAAAGATGAAGATAATCTTTCTCTCAGTCACTATTCCTAGTATTTGTTCTGTTCTTTCTTCTTTTCCTCATGGCAGGTTTAAACGGAGACATGAATGTTAATGGCTTATCTACTGTATCTCATGCTAGTACTTCAGGGACCCGTTCCTCAAACAACTCTCACCTCCATCACCCCTATGACTATCTCTGGAATTACTCCCAGTTTCCCTCTGGCAATGGCAACAACCTCAAAGATGGTCCACTGTTCTCCCAATATCCATTGAACGGTACCCTTGAGAACAATCGGCAGAACTCACCTGGACATACCGCCAGTCTGAGGGGAAGTGGTGGGCAAGAGTTCTGGGCCAATGGCACCCCAGGGACCATAGGATTAAATTTTGACTCAGCAGAGCTCTACGACTCGTTCCCTGATGATCAGAACTTTGAAATCCTACAAAATGGCCCATCAAGCTTCTACACATCATCTCAGCCTTCTCCCATGCTTGCTTCAGGGAATCAGGATTTCTCACCACAGCAGGATGAGCCAAGCAATGAAGAGGCTGTGAAAGAACCACCATCTACAGTTTCAGAAAATGGCACCAGATTGTTGGGCAGTATGGAGCTGGAGAATGCACAACCAGGTATAATCACAAATGGTTCTCAGAATTTTTATTCAGATTGCTTACCATTGAAATATATTTATTTCAGGACATGCTGAAATTTGGATTTGTCATAAGGCCAGTGATACCTTATAATTAATTCCACCTTAGGCTGGAAGAGTAGGTACTGTACAAGCCTTGCTTACTGTTAACTTCTTCAGTTTCTAGTTATTTATGTGTATTTCTAGAAATAAATGACTGTGGCTCCTATGCTTGAGTGTAGTAGTAGCATATCCATCTTGGCATCTGTGTGGCCTTGAAATATGTTTTCTCACAATATTAACCCAATGATCATTTGTTTGCCCTAGTTATAGACTACCAGCAGTCAGATTACTGTAATACGTTGTTTTTCCTGACGCACTTCTAGTTTGGCTGGGTCACATGGTTTTCAGGCTTACCAAGGACTGTGGTCTTCTTTTAAATCTATATTGCAGGTTACTGTGAAAACTGCTTGGGCCAGGGATTGCCCAGTTTTGTTCATCTTGTTTGGTTAAGAACCGTGGACATGAATAGTATTTGTAGATTAATGATAAAATATCTTTTCCAGGCAGATGAAGCCATAGGGTCGGAATTACTGAGATAAGGAATGAAAAGTGCTTTGATTAGTCTAAAATGCTATATAAATGTGTTTGCTGTGAGATTCTGCTTATTTTTAAAGTTTTCTCAAGTCCTAAAGTGAAAGATAATTTTTAAAATCATGATTTAGAAAGTTCAGTGTGACATTTTTAATAATAATATTCCCTATAGAGTTGAAAATATGTGGCTACAATGGTTCTTCTCCCGTTGTTGAGCCTCTTAGCCAAGAGGCCTCTGTCTTGGAACCTGATGCTGGGGCTGGTTGTCTTGAAGATGCTTCTCGGATCCCTCCTCCTCTGGAAGACTCTTTGGAGCCTTTTGAGTCACTAGACAGAGGTAAATGGGTGGAATTTTGCATTTTTGTATCTGTATGATTTGACCTGACGGTTTCCTCCAAATCTTAGAAATCATGTCCTTATAGAGTAAAAAAAATATGAAAAAAATATAAGTTTGCCACATCTTAAGTAAATGACAGAATTTCAGCAAATGTAGTTTGTTATACTTGCTGAAATTTCCCCTTCTTTACTATTCAAGGTGCAAGAGCTCTTTTGCAGAGATCTGGGTATCCTATGTTTTACCAATCATGGCAGTACTCCATGGACTTTGCTGGTGGGAAGTGGACTGTGAGATGTACAAGGTTATCCAGTTGTAAACTGGATTAACTTTCAGATGCACGACTAAAATACCACAGTGACTTTAACATTGCTGTAAATGATTAACATGGCTACCCTTGCGGAAACATGTTGAAAAAATTTCTCTTAAGGCCTGTAAATAATGATAAAGAAGAAAACCTTACCTTGTCTAGATATAACTTTCATTTAAATGTCTGCTACCATTGTCACTGATGTGCAGTTTCTCCAGCAGCATTATTCTTGGAAATGTAAATGCTTATATTTAGGCCTAGATAGCAATATACAAAACAACAAATAAACAAGCCCCCTTCAAACCTGTTAGTTTGCTCTTTCCTATCTTATTGCTGTTCATTCTAGAGGCTTAAGCAAACATTCTGTTGACTAGCAGTAGAAGCACAGTCTCCTTTGTGAATTTGTTCTTCAGTTACATTTTGCACAGTGTCAGGGGCTTGGTTCAATGCATATGGATTTAAAATCCAATTTTATTATTTAATTATAAACATGGAAAGAGAGCAATACCATGATGTAGGTGACTAGCTAAATTTAGAACAGAAAAGGTTGACAGCTAGTTCTGTTTTTCTGCCCACAGTTTATGTTTAAACAATCTCCAGTTCTAATAGCTGCTTTTAAGTAACTTGCCTTTTGACTTGCTAAACCAGGGTAGAGAAGATCAGGATGTACTAGTAAATCTATAACTGATTTACATTAATTACTAAGGCTTTGCGTGCTTTGAAATTAATTCAGAAGTGGGCTTTGGAATCACAAAAGCATGAGTGCATTATGTTTTTAATGCAGTGGTATCTTTTTTCAGGCTTCCACATAAGGCTGAAAAAAGATTGGCTGTTTTAACACATTGATTAGACCTGATTCATTAAAGCAACCTAAGATTTTTTAATTTCCAGTTAACACAGCAAAAACTCTCTTCCCTCCTTGAAAAAACAGGGTTCAGAAACTTTGTGGGAGAAACCAGGAATGGATTTGAATGAAAGAACAGACATTAGTTCTGATACTGAGTCCTAATTACTGGGCCGGGATGCCCTCAGATTTGCCCTGTATTCCTTAACTCTGAATCTAGTAATACATACTTTCTAAGCTGATGTTTTGCATATGGTTCCCATTGGTGCTTTTACTATTCTAGGAAAAAGCAGAATCAATTGTTTAACCAAATATAGTCTGGCTACTCCTGTTTATATGATCCTTCTCAAAAGCACCATTATTTTTCTCCAACACCAAATATAAAGTCAGAGACATAGATAGTAATGCTATGAATTATATCAAAATATTACCAGCATAATCTATGAAACATGACAAGTTTTAAGAAAGCAAAACTATGTGGGAAGTCGCAATATGCAGTGTTGTTGTATCAAATATCTCTTACCTTAATTAATCGATAATATAAGCTAATATATATTAATTAGTTTATACAGTGGTACCTCGGGTCACGAACGCTTCTGTTCACGACCAATTCGGGTCACGAACAGCTCCGTTCACAAAATTTTGCTTCCGTTTGCGAACGCCGGATCGGGTGACGAACAGGATCCGCGGCCATTTTCCCTGCCGTGACACATGGTCGTGGCTTCCTGTAGGGAGGGGGCCTCTCCCTCCAAGCAATAACCGCCTCCCCACCCGCCTTCCTGTCCTCCACGCGAGAAGTCGCATCGAGCAAGGTTAGCGTTCTCTCTCTCCGTGCTGTACTTTGTGTCATATTTTTGTGGTTAAAAAAAAAAAAAAAAAA